TTGACCATTGCAAGGAGGGGATCAAGTAAAGAAGGTAAGGAGGAGATCCTTGCGCGCTTGGATTCGCTAATGAGCAAGGAGGAACTGATAATCAAAGAGATTACCTAACCAACTCCATAAGGTATTCAATGGCAGAATCAAGAATTTAATATAGGGACTCCTATTAATTATAATCTCAAAATTGTTTCTTCCCTAGTCAATAACAATAGCATAATAATAATTTTTTGAGCTAATATTAAGCATAAAAAATTTAAATTTAGCACAAATCACAACAAATCAAAATCTCTAATTTTAACACAAATTATAATAAATCACAATCCCTAATTTAATATTAATCACTACAATTAATATTTTTAATTTTAGTACAAATCAAATGCCTAATTTTAGCACAAATAACAACAAACCAAAATCTCTAATTCTAATATAAATCACCACCAATTAAAATTCGTAATTTTAGCATATCAAAATCTCTTATTTTAACATAAATAATAACAAATAAATTTTTTTTACAAATCAAAACTTAACAAACAACTATAAATTAATACTCACAATTAATAGGGTAAACTACCAATAGGCCCTAATATTTGGATTTAATTTCCTTCAAGTTCGATTGAAAATTAGTCCCAGTAAAATTGTAGCTAAAAATAATTTGTTTGTGATGATTTTTTACATATATCGCTAAAAATTGACAATTAGTGCCTTGGTCACGATTTTTATAAACTGTCGTTAAAACTCATAATTAGTGACATTTTTCTGTAACGAATTTTTCAAACTTAGCTGAAAGTTGTAAATTAGTAACATTTTTTGTGATGATTTTTTAAATTGTCGCTAAAACTTATAATTAGTAACATTTTTTGTGACACAATTTTTAAACTGTCGTTAAAAATTAATAATTAGTGACATTTTTTAACAATATTTAATGAAAAATGTCGTTAATTATCATAAGATCTATTAGACAATAAGTACACTAAATAGAACCTACACATAAGTTTCCCTAATTTTTATTTAAAAGTAAAAAATAATAAATAAAGTTATCTGCAAATAATGAAGAGAATACCAAAGTTGTAGCGTGGTCCCAAATCTATGTTATATGATACCAATCTGGTGAATAGTGAGTCCGTAAATTGCAAAGCAACAAAAGGAGAAAAATAAGATAAAGAAAATACGAAGATACTTAACAAGTACTGTGAATAAATAATAAAAAATAAAGAATTTCATATATTTTTAGGGTTTTAGAGGTCTTGCCACCTGTCGTTGAGAGCCTTGCCAAGCAATTTTTTTTTTTTTTTAAATTGTGCAGTAAATTTTTAGATTGTTCCCGTAGTTGGGGTTGTGTATGTATTCAACCAAAAAAAGGTTGGTGTGTTAGTGTTTAGTTGGGATTGGCACTCAAAAAAAAAAGACCAAAACGTGAGTGAGGTGGGCAGTGTGTGTAGGTGTATTTGGTTAGAATTGGGAGTGATGTGACTGTGTAAGGGGCACGTGACTGTGTGTGTTAGCTAAGACCCAAAAAAACAAAAAATTGGAAAGTCGAGAGGCACCTGACTCTCCTAATCCTGTGTCCCTCCGTCCCTAAGGTCATGTTTGATTCACAAAATTAATAGTGAAGTATTAATAATCTTATTAAATTAGTGTGATATTCACTATCCAATTGGATTAATATTCATTGGATTAATAATCTCACCCCTACCCCATTACTAATAATCCTACAAATTTGTTGGATTAATTATCCATTGGATTAATTATTCTAAACCAAAATGTTAAAACAAACATAGGATAATTGGGCCCACGGATAAATAATCCCAATCTCATACTCTAATACACCCAATTAAACATACCCTAAACGTATTCCAAAGGGATTTTCTAAGTTAACATGTCATGAGTGAATATTACTATGATTGTTGGCACAAAATAAACCGATACTTATTCTCCAATACCGTCATCACTTCTTCTCTAAAAAAAGAAGTTCATGACCCAAGGGGTCGAAAATTTTCCTAGAATGATTGATGCTAGAGGTAAGAGCTTTATGGAGTTCAACATGCGTCCTCAAGCTTCTTAAGCATAACAAAGGACTTTGATGGGCCTACAGACGGGCCTCCAGCTTCATAAATATTTGGGCTTGCAAGTTTCAATGAAATTTACCAAGCCAACAAATGGATTGGGCCTTAGAAAGTTACCATTAGGCCTGGTCGAGGTTCATCCAATAGAACCATGCACACTGGATTACCTACCACATCATTTTTTGCCAATGAAAGATTTGATACTAATTTTGGGGGAGATACTGCTCTACAGAAATATAAAAAGATTATAAAAAAAAAATTAATACAGAATGATAAGTCAAGTTTTAATTTTTTTTTCACTTCACAACAAAAAGCTCATTAAGGTGGTTTATATAGTAAAAAATGTTACTTTAATATCATTTTGATTAAGAATTATGTTAAAAATATTAGGAAAATGTCTCGTAGCTCAAATTTTGTGGCTCAAAAGTGGCTCAAATGGCCAAAACGACGTCGTTTTAGCCATTTTTATGTTGTTCTGTACTCAAAACGACGTCGTTTTGGCCATTTGAGCCACTTTTGAGCCACAAAATTTGAGCTACGAGACATTTTCCTAATATTTTTAACATAATTCTTAATCAAAATGATATTAAAGTAACATTTTTTACTATATAAACCACCTTAATGAGCTTTTTGTTGTGAAGTGAAAAAAAATTAAAACTTGACTTATCATTCTGTATTAATTTTTTTTTTATAATCTTTTTATATTTCTGTAGAGCAGTATCTCCCCCAAAATTAGTATCAAATCTTTCATTGGCAAAAAATGATGTGGTAGGTAATCCAGTGTGCATGGTTCTATTGGATGAACCTCGACCAGGCCTAATGGTAACTTTCTAAGGCCCAATCCATTTGTTGGCTTGGTAAATTTCATTGAAACTTGCAAGCCCAAATATTTATGAAGCTGGAGGCCCGTCTGTAGGCCCATCAAAGTCCTTTGTTATGCTTAAGAAGCTTGAGGACGCATGTTGAACTCCATAAAGCTCTTACCTCTAGCATCAATCATTCTAGGAAAATTTTCGACCCCTTGGGTCATGAACTTCTTTTTTTAGAGAAGAAGTGATGACGGTATTTGGAGAATAAAGGGTTGTTTGAGATGATCTAAATAAGTGCACTTTTTGTCTTTTTACGAAAAGATGTGCAGAAAAGTAGAGAAGTAATGTGATGGAAAAAAGATAAAAAGATAAAAAGATGGATTATATAGGGAATGCCAAACTTGACTTAAGTATCGATTTATTTTGTGCCAACAATCATAGTAATATTCACTCATGACATGTTAACTTAGAAAATCCCTTTGGAATACGTTCAGGGACGGAGGGATACAGGATTAGGAGAGTCACGTGCCTCTCGACTTTCCAATTTTTTGTTTTTTTGGGTCTTAGCTAACACACACAGTCACGTGCCCCTTACACAGTCACATCACTCCCAATTCTAACCAAATGCACCTACACACACTGCCCACCTCACTCACGTTTTGGTCTTTTTTTTTTGAGTGCCAATCCCAACTAAACACTAACACACACAACCTTTTTTTGTTGAATACATACACAATCCCAACTAGGGAAACAATCTAAAAATTTACTACACAATTTAAAAAGAAAAAAATTGCTTGGCAAGGCTCCCAACGACAGGTGGTAAGACCTCTAAAACCTTAAAAATATATGAAATTCTTTATTTTTTATTATTTATTCATAGTACTTGTTAAATGTCTTTGTATTTTCTTTATCTTATTTTTCTCCTTTTGTTGCTTTGCAATTTACGGACTCACTATTCACCAGATTGGGATCATATAACATAGATTTGGGAGCACACTACAACTTTGGTATTCTCTTCATTATTTGCAGATAACTTTATTTATTGTTTTTTACTTTTAAATAAAAATCTGTCACTACCGATTCCTACATTTGTCCACTTTCTATCACCAGCCACAAACTTCAAAAACTCACCAAATTATATATAATTTTATTTTTAAAATATTTGTATACACTAAACAAATTTTTTGTATTTATTTTCTACAAAAATAAATGAAAATATGTTTCTTATTTTTTGCAAATTAAAAATTAAAAACTAAAAATGTTAACAGAATCAAAAAAATATATATTTATTTATTTATTTGAACTATTCATACCTAATACATTATAAACAACTACTAAAATAAATAAATAAAATCCTATTAAAGACTTATTTGGGATAACCTAAATAGCTATATTTTTTTGATATTTTACGAAAATATATAGAGAAAAAATATATATATATAACATAAATAAATATACAACATACCTATATTCATCATACCAAACAACCCCTAAATTATTGAATAAGCTATGGCAAACTTCCCCAACATTGTTCAATAAAATTAGATTTCAATCAACTAATATACCTTTCGTCTGAAGTGGGTATGGAATCAATCAACCCAAAAGAAATTGGACAAATTACCGACACCCCCTTGATTTTTTATTAAAATATAAATTTTTCTTTAAAATTTGAGAAATTACATTCTACCCCTTAAGATTTATATTTTCAAAATAAATTGTCTCATGAGATTTATATTTACATAACAAATTACTACTCATCTATTATGCAAATATAAATTTTATGAAATAATTTATAATTTCTCAAACTTTAAAAAAAATTGTATTTTAGGCTTGGTTTGGGAAGTATGTTGGCTTTTTGGCTTTTTGACTTTTTTGGCTATTTTAGCCTGGGCTAAAAAGCTTGGTTTGGGAAGAGTTTTTTGGCTTTTTGGCTTTTTTGACTTTTTTTGTGAGAGAAAAATGTAATGATTATAGGTTGGATGTGATGTTTTGTTTGTTATGGCTAAAATAGCCTATTTTATTTTTTGTGGCTAAAATAGCCAAAAAAACCTGAAAACTAACTTGCCAAACAGAGGCTTAGTCAAATCTGGAGATCTTGGTAATTTGTCCAAAAAAATTTAAAAAAAAAAAAAAAAAACCCTATAATAAAAGAATCCGAATCTGACAAGTGAAAATGGCAGTCGCAACTACAGTCTCTGCGATCGTATCGTCACCAACAGTCCGTCGAAGACTGCCCTTCGTTGGGGCATTTTGCATCCTGAGCTTGGGAATCTCCAATCTCTGCTCCCCTTCTCTTTCTCTCTCCTCCTCCAACACTCCTCCTACTTCTGCTCTCTCTCTCCCTCTCTTGAGGTACTTCCTCTTCTCTCTCTCTCTCTCTCCCCTTCCCAATTTCTAGGGTTTTATGTATAAAAAAAAAATGTCTTGTTCTGAAAATATTATGGGGTTTCAGATCCAAGTTCAGTAGCCAAACACCTGCCAATAGTAATCACGGCATAAAGATGGAAGCCAATAACAAAACTGTGCCGAGTATTGTCGTCTATGTCACTGTCCCCAACAAAGAAGCAGGTTAGGGTTCCCTATGATTAATTGATTCTGTAATTCATTAATTTATACCTTAACTTGAATACACTACTGATTATGTTGTAAAGTTTAATCTCTGTATAAAATTTCATAATTGATTCTGTAATTCAGAAATTTATATCCCAACTTGAATCCACTGATTGTGTTGTAAGGTTAATCTCTGTATAAAATTCATAGGAGAGTAATGTTTGGACTTTATTGAACTGCACAATATTGTTAATGGAAATTATAATTCCTTCAATTTTGTGTTGTCAACTCCAAAGAATTTAAGACCATATGGTTTCTGTATCAAATATGTTTTTGGCTACTTTAATGATGGATTCTGAATGTTTTATTGTGAAAACTTCCACTACTTTCGGGAACTGTCTATTTACTTGTAATCCTTGTCTAGTTTTGTTGTATATGCACCTTTCGCGTGTATGTTCTTCCTCTATCTTATTCAAATGATGTGCCTGCTTATTTTGTTCCTAATCATTAAATTTGCATATACGTATATATATATCATTTCTTCGAATAATTTTTCTATGGAGTTATTCCTTATTCATATTTAGGACAACGGCTCTCCAAAAGAAAGCATCAGCTAGCTGAATGATTTTGACCTCACAATGTCGTGATTACAATAAAACGTTGGAAGCTTTTTTTTTTTTTTTTTTTTAATAACCGGGTGTTCGAGCCAACTTATACACACCTTAACTAATTCCGGGAGACCAATTCCACTGCCATTTGTGGGGGGTCCCATTTAAAGCCAGAGCAAATGCTGTGTATGGATTGGACCTAAGGAGCTTATTGCAACTCGTGAGTATTGAACCTGAAACCTAGAGGAAGTACACCCACAAGCCCCAAGGTGTGCCCAATAGGCCAACCCCTTGAGGTTAAAACATTGGAAGCTTTGATGGATCAGAAGTGGGAAATAAGCATTTACATGTTTTTGACTTGTAGAAAGCATGGACAAATAAAGTAACACAATTAGAATGTTTGTATGAGGTTCTAATAGATGATATTTTATTGTTTTCGTAGGAACCTAATATCTGTGGGCTTTGGTAATCTAATGACCTATCACACAAATCAAATCTATAATTCTTTTAATTAAAAAATATTAAAACGAAACAAAAATAAGTATGTTGGTGTTTTAACATGCTACTGACCTTTAGAGATATAACAGGAGGTATTAAAATGAGCTATGATGCTTGTGATATTGAAGATAACTTGCTTATCAAAAAAAATGATATTGAGGATAACTTGAAACTGATAACCTACTAGAACTAAATACATATTCTTCTTATTCTTTGTATTCTTCACGATTTTTTTTTTTTTTAAATTTTTTTCTCAGGTAAGAAACTGGCAGAAAGCATAGTCAAAGCAAAACTTGCAGCATGTGTGAACCGAGTACCAGGCACGTGCTTCCATATCTCAAATCTCTCAAATTGAATCTTTAGGTTGTGTTTGGTTCATGGATTTGGGGAGTTGGGGAGGGATTCAGAAAGGGAAAAGAAAAAGGTATGTGAAATTAGGTGAAATGTAAGTATGTTTTATTCACATTTCACCTACTTTTCCCTTTTCCTGTTCCCTTTTTAAATCCCTTCTCAAATCCTTGAACCAAACACAACATTAAGGTTGCCGTTGTTTCACCATGTTTCGGTCTCAATAAGAGAATAATCTGTTGAAGGTTTTGCATGGCCATAAGAACAAATTTCATGTGTTTCCTAGTGAAAGTGTTAAACTTATGTTTGGAAATCTTATACAGAAGTATCCACTTACCCTAATATTTTTATTGGTCGGTGGTGCTCTAGCTTTCTTACCGGATTAGATGTAATTTTTGGTACAAAATGAACATTGATCATACTAGGTTTTATTGAACATACCGTTTTGTGGAAGTTTGACAGGACATGCTCAGCATATCATGGATTGTTCCAATAGGGTTTACATGGTTTATTTTTGGTGCAAGAATTTATAAATGAGACAAAATATCCAGTTGCATTTTCAAATATAATATTGGTGGTATTCACTACAACATGCCTTTAACTTAGTAAGGATCTTTTCTTTCTGTTAGTGTTTATGAAGTTATAAGCATGAGAGTTGATTTGTTTTAGCGTTGAGACTGACAGTTACAAGCTATAAGCTCTTGGTTGCTGACTTTGGGTTCTCACTTGAACCTTCTGGTGTGATATTTTCTTCTTGCTTTTTTTTTGTTAAACAGTATTTTCTTCTTGCTAGGAGTGATGTTTTTTGGCCCAATTAATCCAACTAATTTGATTATAAATAGATGGATGGTGATTGGGTATGTGTCATAGTGAAAGGGTATGCAATGATGGTGTTGAGGCACAGGTGACCAGAGGCTTATGGTTTAATGGTTGTTTGTTAACAGCCAGTAGGCAATGGGCGGTTAGATGAGGATGGTCAGCGGTGGTGGCTAGAGGTTGATGAGAACTAGTTTAGGTTCTCAATAAAGATGGGAGTGAAGACTTCATTCATAAGAGATTTGACTTTCTACAAATAACTGTGTACTAGTATAAGGGTAATAATGCAAAAGTAGATTTTCTTTTAACATTGTTAGACCAAAAAAGCTTACAGTGGAAGTCAGTGTAATTTGTGAAAACCCAAGGTGGGTCTTTGTAATTGTTAGATATCTCAAGGGATGGGTCAATGCAATATAACCCATGTCTTTTTAAATTCCCTCTGCTTGGATTTCTAATTAGATCTCTCTTCATATTGTTGTTATAAAGCAATTATATCCAGCCTTTTATCTATAATTCTTTATGTAGAGCCTGTATCCTACCCTTGCCTCTAAATTTTCCCTCGAATTATATCTCACTTTTGTACAAGTGCTCAAGTTCTTCACTCTATCTACTACTCATAGTGGTTACACTTCATAGAAACAAATATTGGTAAATAGTGAGCTGAGCAGCGTGGGAGGCTCGTAATACACAAGATGTTGTACATTTATTAGTTAAGGTGAATCACTAGATACTTATTCACCTTTGCAATGCTCCGCAATATCTTGAATTTACAGATTCATATGCTTATCAAGAATTTACAGATTAAAGTGTCTGATATATAAATTTAGAAAACCTGATGAACTAGTTACCTTTTCCAATGCAGGCATTGAATCGGTATATGAATGGAAAGGAGAGGTAAGATTTCCCACTACTACAAAGTGAAAAAGAGAACCCTCCGAATTTATGGTAAAAGTTATTTTATGCTTGTCTTGCAAACTTCCACATTGTTGGCTGCAGGTTCAGACAGATTCCGAGGAACTGCTTATAATCAAGACTAGGGAATCCCTTTTGGAAGCTCTAACCGCGCATGTTAAGGCAAATCATGAATATGAGTAAGCCAATTCCTCTGCAATATCTTACCTGCTTATTGCTTGTACCCTGACACAAAACGAGCCCAATCCATTCCAACAACCCCCCCACCAACTGCAAAACGTATCCAATTACTTGTCTCAAATGACAATCAGTGTGTTTGGTTTGAGTTTTCTGGATTAAGTTTTTTGAAAATTGACTTTTTTGGTTTTCGTGTTTTTTGTTTTTAGTGAATATTTTTTAAATTTTAAATATTTTTTTTACCTTTTTAGATGCACCTTGCTTAGATATATCTAAAAAGTAAAAAATTTGTGAAAAAATATTTTAAAAAATTAATAAATACATAAAAATACAAAAAAATGTACTGAATTCTTGTATTTTTTTGTATATTTGGTATTTAGTAAATTTTTAAAAGATTTTTTTTACAATTTTTTTACTTTTTAGGTGTATTTATGTTAGGTGTGTCTAAAAAGTAAAAAAAATTGCTTAAAATATTAAAAAAATTTAGTAAAAATAAAAAAACACAGAAAATAATAAAGTAGAATTTTCTGAAAAGTATTTTTGAAAAGTGGAAACAAGCAAGGTGAATAGTGTTGCATCGGTTCTTGAATATAATAATAACACAATCACTATGAAGACATTCTGGCCCTTGACCTGGATTCTTAACCACAACTGACTTGACTAGTATTTGTAATTAAGGTGTATGCATAACAAGTTTTCTTCTCACCATCACTGTGCTCTATTTTCACTAGGGTTCCTGAAGTAATTGCCATGCCAATAGTTGGCGGCAGCATCCCATACCTTGAATGGCTCAAGAACAGTACGAGGGACTGAATTCCTCTACCTCGGCAATGGAGTTGCAGGAAACTATCTAATGTTCAGTGAAATGGCATTTTTCGTTCGTTTGTCAGGGGTCATCCTGTTTAGTTGTACATTCATATGGCCTGTGTGTGTGTGTGTGTGTGAGAGAGAGAGAGAGAGAGAGAGAGAGAGACTTGCTATGGAACTGATTATCAAATATGTATTCCATTCTGAGCATAAGGAATTTGGCATCCTATAAGAATTGTCTGTTCTTTATGTTATATGGTCTTTCTTACTTCGGGATAAAGCAATAAAGACACGACTAAATTTAAGGAAAAAAGAGTTTATCATTTGAACTGCTGTGAGATGTTTCCTAATGAGATGTTTATGATTTATGAAACTATCTTTTACAGGTGTACAACCCTGTACTTGTGGCCCACAAGTTGTGGGCTAGGGTCCCTTCGTTATCTGGAATTGTGTTAGCTTAATATTTTTTTGATCAACAAAAGAAATCTTTATTGCTGACCATGAAAGGTACAAGATGTACACACAAATTCATCAATAAAGAGAAGAGGGGGCACCCTCATCAACATAGCAAAGAAGAAAACAGCAAAGCAGCAAGCAAACCAACCCAAAGACATATATATAAGCAGACCAACCCAAGACCAACCCAAGACCAACCCAAGACCAACCCAAAGACAGATAAAGAGGCAGAGCAACCCAAGACAAATAAAGAACTAGACCAACACCTGCTGCTGCTGCTCACCAGAAGAAAGCAGATTATAAATCAAGACACCTCTGCTGCTGCTGATACACCCAAACACCTGATGTTTATCTTTGTGCATCACATCAAACCCTGCCAGCTAAACAAACTCTAATCTGCCAGATGTTATACAGAAAATCATTAATAGAAAATTGACAATCCTTAGAAGAAGTGTTCAGCCAAATAGCTAATCTGATAATAATTGACACCTAAAGCTCCTTCATAGCTGGTTGAACATTATTGAACAAGCAATTATTCTGATGCTTCCAGATGGACCAAAGGGCAACCAAAGGAATAGCATTTCATATCCTCCTTTTAGCTTTCATGAGACAGATACCAGCCCACCAATGCAACAAACATTCAACAAAACTAGGCACAACCCATACCATTCTCTTCCAAATTAGAGGACAAGAAATGAGAACATGTGAAAAAGATTGTGCCTCTACTTTACAAAAAATACACACATTGGAGACTTCCTCACCCAGCACTACAACCCTTTGGAGAAAAACGATAGTTTTGATTTTATGTCTCCAAGCTAACCATCCAAAGAATTGAGCTTTGGGTGGGAGATAATTAATCCACACCAATCTACTAGTACTCACAAATGCACCAAAACCCACTTCACAATGCCTATAGAGAGAAGCGACAAAGGATTGACCTGGTTTACAAGCTAGCCATCTTGGTTTGTTTTTTTCACCCAAACATAAAGCAAGGGCTGCTCTTAACACTTCAATGAGCCTGGATACCTCCTCAACCTCCCACTACCGCAAAGGCCTTCTTAAATTGAGATCCCATATCTCAGAGCTTCCTTTTTTATCAACAAAAGGCTTGAGAGACTCATTCTTATCTGTTGAGAGTGAAAAAAGTCTAGGGAAATCCACTTTTAGACAATTACCACCACACCATTTATCATGCCAAAATCTCACTCTACTCCCATTACCCACTTTAATTTGAAAATTGTGGACAAAAAATTGTAAAAGAGTGTTACTTTGCTCTGCCACTACTAGGACATCACCCCATAACTTAGACCATCTTATGCCAATAGTTTGATTTGGAAGCCATGCTCCATCTTCAATTTTATACTTATGACAAATCACCTTTTTTTCTTAATGCCTCCTTTTCATTAGCAAATCTCCACCAATACTTCATTAATAGGCAAGCATTGACCTCTCTGATTCTCCTTATTCCCAACCCACCTTGATTAATGCTCTTGGTCACCTCTTTTCATTGCACTAGATGAATCTTTCTTTTCAATTATGTGCCTCCCCACAAGAAAGCTGCTTGTAATCTATCAATTTCCTTAGCAACTCCTTCTGGCATCCTGACGAGAGATAGATAATCACAAGCAAACTAGACAGCACTGATTTGATTAGAGTCAGCTTGCCAACAAAGGAGAGGAGCCTCCTTTTCCACCCCGCAAGTCTGATTTTGATCTTGTCAATGACAGGTTGCCAAGATTTCTTTCTACTTGGAGAGGCGCCCAATGGTGGTCCTAGAAATTTCAGTGGTATACTCTGAGTTTTACAATTAAGCAAAGTGGCAAATTCCTTAAGTATATTGCCCAAAATTCCAACCCCACAAACCACACTATAATGGAAATTAATCTTAGACTCCTGAGACCATTTCAAAGCACCTTAAGATTCTTTTTAGATTCATTACCTCCTCCACATCAGTTTCACAGAATAGTAGTGAATCATTAGCAAATTGTAGATGTGAAACAACCACCCCATTGACTCTAATATGCATCCCTTTTATCAGTCCCATATCCCTTGCTCTGAGCAGTAGAATACTTAGACCTTCAGCTGCCAAATTAAACAGGAAAGGTGATAATGAATCACCCAGTCTAAGGCCTTTTTGTGGACTAAACTCTTTGGTTGGTGGCCCATTCACAAGAACTGAAATTCTAGCATTTGAGATATACTCCTTCATCCAAGAAATCCATTTAGAGCCAAAACCAAAATTTGACAACATGGAAAACAAAAAACCCCAATTGATGGAATCATAAGCTTTTTCAAAATCAAGTTTCAGCAACAACCCCTTCTTCTTGGCTTTCTTCTACCCATCCACAATTTCATTTGCAATCAAAATCCCATCCAAGATATTCCTTCCACCCAAAAAAGCTGATTGGGTTTCACTAATTACTTCTGGCATAACTGGTTTGAGTTTACTTGCTAGAACCTTAGACAAAATCTTGTACGTTGACCCAATCAAGTTGATTAGCCTATATTTACTGAGATTGACTATATTGACCTTCTTAGGGATTAAAGCGATGAAAGAGCTATTCATTCCAAAAGCCAATCTACCCAAACTGTGGAACTCTTTCATGCACAGCATCACATCTTCTTTAAACACCTTCTAATTCTTTTGAAAACACATTAAGTTAAAGCCATCGAGTCTTGGTGCTTTATTCCCATTGCACTCTTTTACTGCTGCCCATATCTCTTCCTCCGAAAACTTTGCTTCCAACTACTGAAAACAATCACTACATCTAACACTCTTGAAATCACCAGTTAAGACAGGTCTGATCCTCCATGCTTCTGAAAAGTGCCTGTTAAAGTTTGCCCATACCACATCCTTCACTTGCTTTGGATCCTCAACCACCATCTCTTCAACCAGAATAGAATTCAGTTCATTCCTATTCTGTCTACTGCTAGCTATCACATGAAAGAATCTAGTGTTTCTATCATCTTTTAAGTTCCACTCTAATCTTGACTTTTGCAACCATGACCATTCCAACATTCTAGTGAGCCTCTACATTTCACTTCTTGTCTCTTTTTTTAGCTTCAACTTTGCTTCCACCAAGGGTCTGTCTTCAGCCAATAAATCCAATGAATGCAACTGACTCTCAGCTTCTTTAATTTTCTCCAAGACATTACCGAACACCTCTTTGCTCCATTGCTTTAATGCTAACTTCAATACATGTAATTTCCTTTGCAATATTACACCTGCTCTGCCATTTATTTGTGTCTCTTACCAAACTCTATCCAAAAAGGATGCAAAACTGAGGTGCAGCAACCAAGCATTTGTGAACTTAAAGGGTTTGGGTCCCCAGTCCCTTACATCCTCCATTAAAAGTAGAGGACAATGATCAAAAATGTGTCTAGATAATCCCCACAGTTTGAGCTTGAATCTTTCAATCCACTCAGGGCTCAAAAGAAATCTATCAATTTTACTCCATTTATTGACATCAACTGCATTACACCAGGTGAATTTCCTACCCAACATTTGTAACTCAGTCAACTCACACCTATTTATGAAATCATTGAAGTTTTTCATACCCCTTTCCCTTCTTGAACAACCCACTCTTTCATCCATAGTTCTAATTTCATTAAAATCTCCACCTACACACCAATGTGTAGTGAACCTTGCTTTCAAGTTTACTAGAATCTCCCATAATTTGCTTCTCCTCACAAGATCATTAGGAGCATACACATTAATAACAGCACAATCAAAAGAGTTAAAGACAGTACCTGCAAACAAAACGAAATGTCTATTGTTGCAACAATCTGAGAGCTGAAACACATCAAGATCCCGTATGCAAAGCAGCCCCTCTGCCCTACCCTCAACATCAACAACCATGAACTCCATTTTGTCTCTAGGCCACAATCTTTTAACATCCACACATGAAAAGCTTGCCTTTTTTTGTTTCTTGAAATAAAGCCAAATCATTTTCCTATCTCCCAAGATCTTCCTAATTTTTCTCATCTTCCTAGTCCTTCCACTCCCTCTGATATTCCAACCTAACCACTTCATATCAACAGATTTGTGCTCTTCAATATCACCCAGTAGGAGCTGATTATGCCCCCTATCAGTCCCATATCCCTTGCTCTGAGCAGTAGAATACTTAGACCTTCAGCTGCCAAATTAAACAGGAAAGGTGATAATGAATCACCCAGTCCTAGAAAATGCCCTAACCTTCTAGCAAACCCTGAAAATCCACCTACTAACATGGACTTTCTAGCACCCACTTTTCTTTTCCCTTTATTGTTTCTAGACTTCATCTTATTAGACACAGATTTACTGATGGATACACTAGTAGTATCACAATCACTGGACTTAGAGCCCAACACAATAGGCCCATGCTCTCTGCCCACATATTGGGTTGACTAATACGAGAGCCATAGTGTTGAATTGTACTTGGATCTTGATTCCAACTTGGGTAACATTGTTGAGATTCATTTTAACTATAGTTCAACACGGAAATGGATCAATGCAACTTGTCACCTTGCCCTTTCTGGATTAAGCTTGTTTTACACTCATCCGAGACTAGATCCAGACTCCTGAATCAATATCAAGAGTGTCCTGCTATGTGAATCAACACCAGTTTCCAGAAGGTACTCGCACTACGAAATTACTCAGAAAAAGTGAGCTGGAAACCTCTACAAATCCGTTACAAATATGATATAACCAACCAATGAATAGCAAAGGATCCATACACCAACAGTGAGCCATTCTAAAATAACAGATGGACCAAAGAATATAGCAGACTAGTTATGGGAATCAAGCTGAAAGAATATATATAAATTGCAATGTTTTGAAAAGGCAAAAAAGCATTCATCATAAAGACCATTACAATTCCTTCTGTCAACATATGGGACTAATTTTCTACCACCATAGAAAAAGAGAAGACAGTAATATCAAACTACAACCAAATGCAATAATGCAGCAAAATATAGCAACTAGTACATCCAGCAAAGCATTCCAAACCACGAGAATTTTTAAAGCAGGTTTTCAAAGTCTTGAGTATGAAACATCATTTCATTGGGTTGATGCTCATTCTCCAATTAACACACAATTAGTCAGCACAAACAAATGACATTCAACGCCCACCTCCTCCAGGAGAATATCACAACTCGTCAGCTTGAAAGATGTTTAGGATTCATCTATCTGGTCCTGCATAAAAAGTTCCAAAGTAAAATGAAGTCAAATCATCAATCGAGCTAGTTCTGTAATTATAAGGGTTACATGTACCCAAAAAAAAAAAAATTTATTTGGGTTACGCAAGATCTATAGCTAATAGAATAATCTTGACCATGGCAATGCACCAGAGAGAGAGAGAGAGAGAGAGAGAGAGAGATTCACAGACCTGCATGTCTGAAGTCCAAAGAGTCAGATTGTCCCTTAGCAGTTGCATGATGAGAGTGCTGTCCTTGTATGATTCTTCACCTAAAGTATCAAGTTCAGCTATTGCTTCCTCAAATGCCTGTCCACAGAGATCATAATAAAGGTACAATCAATAGAAATCTAATATGGAAGTCTGAAAATGAAAAGCCTTGTGCAACACCAGCCTCCAGTATAATTCATAGTAGCAAGCAAGAGGCACACTGATTGTAACTCTCAAATGGTCACATGGCTTCTTTCTACCATTAGGGCATGTTTGATTGGATGGATTAGAGTATGGGATTGAGATTATTAATCCGTGGGCCCAATTATTCTATGTTTGTTTTAACATTTTGATTTACGATTATTAATCCAATGGATAATTAATCCAACAAATTTGTAAGATTATTAGTAATGGGGTAGGGGTAGGATTATTAATCCAATGGATAATTTATCCTATCAATCCAATTGGATAGTGACTACCACACTAATTTTGATAGTATTATTAATACCTCACTATTAGTCTTGTGAATCAAACATGGCCTTAATGCATAAGGAAACAAATATACGTGATTAGTCAACCTCACTATGACTATCTAAGTAAGACATTGCAACAGCAGCATGAAAAGCTGACCCGATTTGAAGAGCCTCCTCATCAATAAAAAAGTGAGGCGAGTGCAATGGGTGATCTGATTTCAGAGTCTCGTTCTTTGTCCCGACAGCGTACATCACAGCCGGCATCTTCTGTGAATAGAAGCTGAAATCTTCAGCTCCCATAGTCACTGGAAGTATCTGCACATTCTGCTTCCCAAGCAGGACCTCTCCAACCCCCTTTGCGTGTTCATACAACACTTCATCATTAACGAGTACTGGATAGGGTAGGGGTGTCTCCTCCATGAAATCCACCGTGGCATTACACCGATGCATGGTTGCCTGAATCTCGATGATCTGCAGGCAAAACATGTCCATTCTGCTTTATGATTTGAATGGCCAAGATAGGGGGGAAAAAAGAAAAAGAGGAGGCAACCTACATGAGGCTGCTAAAGTAGGGCCTGAGGAGGGTAAAGTTGTATGCAACCTTAACTATTTAATTTATATATTAAATAAAATTATTTTTTTATTGTCGTTAATTTAAAATTATATATTAAATAAAAAATATAAATTATAAATTATAAATTAAATTTAATTGAAAATAATAAATTAAAAATTATGGCCTTATAAATTAAATTTTTTTAGTGTTGTTAAATTATAAATTATAGATTACAAATTTAAAATTATATATTAAATAAAAATTATAAATTACAAGGGTAAAATAGTCTTTTGAACATTTATCCTTATCCAATCCGTCTAACCAAACATTGGATTTACTAAAAATAATTCAATCCAGACATCTAATCCCATAACTAAACAAACATAGGATAGAAATCCAATCCGACCAAATAGTCCAGGGACAATGTATCCTGGACTAACAGTCCGATAGATTACAATCCCCATTATCCAGTTTGTCCAAACAAACACACCCCAAGGGTTATAATAGTACATTACCATGGAGACCACCACATTATAACGTAAGAGAGAACATAATGAAATGTGGCACACTGGCACTGCAACAGTGCAATTACAGAATTTTTCAATCACTGAGCATTTCACAGCTCCATCTATGATATATAATAAAGAGTAATGTTATAGATCACTAATTTGCCATCACTAACCCCACCACTAGTGAGGTGAAAAAAAAAAAAAAAAAAAAGGTGGCAATTGAAAAAAAAAAAAAACAAGGCACAAATACACTGTGGCAGTGGGTGGGACCCACTGCCACGTCATTAGAGCTACCACTAATTAGTGGTCTAAGGCATTTTCTATAAATAAATAGTAATAAAGAAGTAAAACAAATAATCATCTTACTGAGTTTTGATTTAACAAAGCAGAGATATATACAACAACCGGACGTTCAACAACCAAAAACCGTCCACCACCTAAAATATATATTAATGATCTGCTCAACTGATCTGCTCTGTATCTATTCTTTGGACTTCTTTTTTTTTTTTTTTTTTTGTTTTTTTGTGGATTTTGTGATATATAAGAGTTAAAAAAAAAAAATTTTTTTGGGCAACCTGACCATTAAACAGACAAACACCTCCGCACAAGGCTCAAACACTGTTGAAAAGCTATGAGATATATATATATATATATGAGACAGATAGTTTAGGTGGGTCATCAGGAAATTCAGGGATAAAATTGAGTTTGATTTTTACAGAGATAGAGAGAGGAAGGTTCTGTGAAGTAATCAGTAAATTCCAACAACTCTAGATCTTAAGTTTTTTAGTACCAGATAAAGATTAACATTTTGGAATTGCTTCAGCTTCACACAGCTTTTATTGCTCTCTTTAAATTATTATTAGAACCTGTTTAAATCATGGTTAAGTTTGTTTTTGGATTCTGACAGAGGTTGTCCCACAGTTTATTAAATTCAAAGTGACGTGTAAGTCGATGATTGGTTGTCCTCCATCAAATACAATGATAACAGCACAGCTGTGTACAATTAAAATTCATAAATTAATTAGCGAAAGAAACAATTGAAAGTCATTGTAATCCTTATTTATATTGATTGCAAGACTTCTTATTTTCCCTAACCATTACTTCCAGAAGACAGCCTGTGACATATATCACATGTATCAACAGAAAAACCCAGAAAGGAAGCAAGCATTTAATTCAATTTCCACCAATGCAATGTAAAAAACAATTTTTTTCCTTAAAAATTAAAATTTAAAACAAAAGCAGTTGAAGAGAACCACCAGTCACAGCCTGCATTTATAATTAAGTTCTCTATCCAATCATCAAGCTAACAAACCATCACCATCAATACAGATACTCTAAGAAAAGTAATGTAGCACATGCAAGCCAGATAATCCAGATCTGGATAATTATAAATCATACTCATGCATAAACATAAGCAAGGACAACCAGCATAGAGAAGCTTCACTTGGATGTAATAGCACAATCTAATATACATGTCAAACAAGCATTGGCAAGGACCACTAAAAAAAACTACCCGAAGTATGTATTGCAAAAAGATCAGGGGGCAATTACTCTTAGAAGTCCCAACCAAGCTTGTAACTCAAAGTTGGTGTATTGTAGAGTTTTGAGCAGTTGAATATCATTAACAAGCTCAACACCAAACTCCTAAAATGAAACTTTCCAATGTCTTTCCACTAGGCTAAGAAACACAGACAATTCTACGAAGGAAGTGTGTTGTGTCCGATAACCATGTCGGACACCGACACTCTTCATCCACTCCTAAATGTATGTCCGACACCTCTTCAACTTATCTTAATAAAAAAATCAAATTCATAATATCGGACACTTTATCGACACTTCGCAGACACTTTTTGAACACTCTAAACACGTCTTATGCGATGAATACTTTTATAATAGCAATGTTCTGCATTTGTTTTGAAGCATTAATAAAATAAATATATCATATATATTGCAAAGTTCTATATGAATGAAATTGTTACGCGAATGATATCTGAATATTTAAATTATAAAATATATAACTTTTTAATGTAATTAGTATTATTTTACATATTTTTCATCATCTTTCAATAAATTTTTATATATAACATATAACATGTAAAAATAAAATTTTAACATGTCCCAGGGTGTGTCGTGTCCTGCATTTTTTGAAAATCGACTTGTCGGCTTTCAATGTCGTGTCGTGTGTCCATATCTATGCTACTCAGCTTAAAGGTCTTTCCACTTTCCACTTTCCACTTAAACGTCTTTCCAATATCTTTCCACTTCCATATTTTTTGCACAGTTGCCATGCTAGTGCATCCACGCTACAGAGAGATTATGATGATTATACACAATAGCCACATATAAATGGACATTTTAGATTCACTAATATGAACCTCACATCCACATAAGGCTAATTAGCTTTTTCATCAACCCTTCACTAGAACCAACTGTATCAAATTGGCGATATGAACACCGAATTTCATCCCAACAATCCTTGAAAATTGAGATCGTCATATCAATGGTTTCATGGTCGGTCTTCGGTCGATGGTGGTGTAGACCTGAGAGAAATCACAACACTCAACCCATACATTTTCACCATCTCCTTTCTCTATATGTTAGGGTTTTGAGATGAGGTGTAATCCTAGAAGGGTTGAAACCATAGAGAGTCAGCAATGAGGGTCTAACGGAGAACTAGAAACTATAGAGAAAGGTTGGAGGGTGAAGGCCAAGAATCACGCCTAAGGAGATAGGGAATCGCTAACTCAGTAATGTAAGAGAAGAGGAAAGAGAGAGACAATGGAGGATGAGGAGGAAAGAGAAAGACAAAGATCTAGTGAGGAGAGATGAGCGAGGAGAAAGAAGATGGAGATCCTATGGCTGTGTTTGGTTGGAAGATTTGATAAGGGAAATGGAAAGAAAAAGGGAAATAAAAAGAAAATGAGAAAGAATTAACAAGATTCGAATTCCAAGTTATGTTTGGTTGAGTTAAGAAATTGCGGGGAAAAAAAAAAAATCTTGTTTGGCAACTTTCAATTTTAGCCAAAAAGTTAAAAAGTCACTATAAGTTACCACATCAGTTTCTCTACTTTTTTGCCCATCTTTTCATAAAAAGCTAAAAAGTTACTAAAATAGTTTGTTCAAAAGATAAAAAGTGAGATTGCATTTTCTTCTCACTTTCTTTTTCCTGGTGTTTTCCATTATAACCAAACAAAAAGTAAGATTACATTTCATTTTCTCTTTCCATTTCTCTCATCAAATCCTCCAATCAAATACCGCCTGTGAGAGAAAGCACTATGAGAGGAGAGTGTTAAATCTAAGAGGGTAGAGAGAAAGAGTAAAGGAGGTTATAAGATAGAGAGAGAAGACGAGATAAAGTAGATACTTGACAAGGTATTATTTAGAGAACCAATTACATGGTGCCACCTGTAATAATTGATGTATTGTAATCTGCACAACCACCACGTCGTCTAACTATTAAATGCATATTTGGGAAGGCTCAGTTCCGGCAGGTTTCTATTTCCAAGAACCGTTGACCCACCGAGTTAAAAAAACAAAAAAATTGATCACATTCAACTGACACTGACCATACATTTTGACAAAGTTGACCATTGGTGAACAAGTTAAGTAGGTTCGGTCAATTTTCTCAGGTGAATTAAATTGTTGGACAGCCTTCAAAAGGAAACAAATGAATCGTTCCTGATCTATATCCTTTTTGTTCCTTTTATACAATTACTTAAATGCAAACTTAAGTAGTTAACTTATTTTGTTTCTATTATTTTCTAATAAGTGAAGGCTGGAGCAGTTAACTCTTCTCATTACTTCATGACAAAACAAGAGATGATTCAGTGATTTTATTAAGTTTGCAGAATGTAGATATGAAACAATTATAAAACTATCCTTCCATCTCCAAAACCACAAGCATTCTTGAGAATTAAAATACTTACAAGTCATAGGTTGCTTTCACTCAAAATTATTTCAAATATTTCATCTACTAAATCCTAAGTGAACGATGTAAAGAAGATCAATGGACAACTTTCACATAGAAAGCATGTACATAGCCGATCATATAGGAAAATTCATTAACTCTCATCCAAACGCTCCTTCAGTGAAATTCTTACTTAATCCACCTCCAAACCAAGTCATATTATAATTGACAAACAATACCATAAACATTTTCTAGGCATGATATCTTATCATAATAAACAAATGCTTAACAAGAGAAAGATAAGATAAGAATACCATTTCAAACCAGAAGTAACTTGGAGTGAAGTATACCTGTTTTGCCATGTTACAAGCTTTATCAGATGAATTGAGAATCTCGTAATAGAACACTGAGAAATTGAGGGCTAGCCCCAGTCTTATGGGATGTGTTGGAGCCAGATCAGTCAAAGCAACATCCTTCAACAACAGCACAAAAAAGTCAGAACTCCTAAATGCACAAATCTGCTATACTCTCAAAAAGCCTACATGGTGAGCCAATCCATAACAATATGTCATCATGTTCATTGCGCTAAATCCACAATTAACAACTATCACTCGCTCGAAATCCTAAGCACATAACTACATTCTTGATCTAAATTCAAAATTTCCAATACTACAAGGTGTGTAAAACCTAATTTCACAACAGTAAATCATATCATGCCCTAATTTCACAAATTTCAAGTCAAATCTAAGTACCTGAGCAGCCTTGTAAGCGTTCATAGTGTCCTCAGCAGCCTCCTTACGCTCATCACCAACCTTGAACTCAGCAAGATACCTATGGTAATCGCCTTTCATCTTCAGATAAAACACCTTGGACTCGGTGGCGGTGGCGGACGGAACGAGATTGGAGTCGAGCAAGTTGAGAATACCAGCGCAGACGAGAGAGAGCTCGGACTCGACCTTGGATCTGTAGTCCTTGACCAAAACGACATGGTCATCGTTCTTGCGAGACTCCTCTTTCTGCTCGATCGAGGAGACAATACGCCAGGCAGCACGGAGAGAGCCGATGACGTTCTTGTAGGCGACGGAGAGGAGGTTGCGCTCCTCGACGGTGAGCTCGCCGGCGGGAGTGGATCCGACGACGAGCTTCTCCATGAACATCACCATCTCTTCGTAGCGCTCGGCTTGTTCGGCCAGTTTCGCCATGTAAACGTACTGTTCTCGGCTTAGGTTGTCTGGAACTGTCATAGTCGCCATTGCTGAGTAGAGAGAGAAGCGAAGAGAACTATATAGAGAGAGAGAGAGAGAGAGGGCGGAGAGAGAAGAGAGTCTTTTATATTGGGACGACACTCGTATTGTTTTACTAGTGTCTGAGCGTGATTGTTGGCCTTGTTTTTTAGGAAAGAATCATGGTTGGTAGTTCCATTTTCAAAATTGAGAGTCTGTTTTATTTGGTTTTTGGAGATAAATTTTAAAAAAAAATTAGAGAAAGGGTTTAGAAATTTGTTTGATTTATTTAGTTATATATTTTGAAAATAGTTTTGAAATACGGAAGTTTGGGATAATTTGATATTTTATTGTAAGTTAAGTAAATATGCGTGAGAGAAAAAGTGATTGAGAATGAAAGAGAAGAGAGAAAAAGTGATTAATTGATGTGTAAGAGATAAAAAATGATTTTAGAAAAAAAAATTCAAAATTACAAAACCAAATAAAATTTTAAAAAATGTTCTCCAAAATTTATTTCTCAAAAACAAACGAAACAAGGCCTGAGTTTTTTTTTTTTCCATTTGTTTTTTGTTTTAATAGATATTTTTAAAATTTTAAGTATTTTTTTTTATTTTTTTAGATGTACCTTACTTAAATATATTTAAAAAGTAAAAGATTTGTGGAAAATAATTTAAAAAATTAATAAATACATGAAAATAAAAATAAAATACTAAACTTTTTTTTTTGTATTTTTGGTATTTAGTGAATTTTTTAAAAAAATTTTCACCAAAATTATCATTTTTAAGTGTATTTATGTTAGGTGTATTTAAAAATTTTAAAAATTACTTAAAATATTAAAGAACTTTAGTAAAAATTAAAAAAAATACAAAAAACCAAAAAGTTGAATTTTTTAAAAAGTATTTTCAAAAAATTAAAAACAAACATAGTGAATTTTATTTTGTTTTGAATGGCTGAATTTTAACTTTTCAATATATCAATCTATTAAGAAGGTTGATAGTTACGATTGATAAAGTGACAATTACAATAAATAAGTGTTACATCAGTTGTTCAGTCGATCGATTAGTAAATACAAATTCAATTTAAATTATCAATCTTTATTATTATAAAAAAATATATTTCATGGTCCTAGTGTACTATTATATGGTCTTGTTTTCATTAATCACAAACCATCACGTCTTTTTTTTTTTTTTTTTTTTTTTTTTTTTTTTTTTTAACTCAACTATCATGTTCTTGTTATTTTTTAGTTTAAAAATGGTTAGAAATTCTAAATATTTTATCAAAGATTTTATTAAATGCCTATGCGAGCCTCATATTCATTTGAAACATTTAATAGAATATTTGATAAAATATTTGAAATCTCTAATATTATTCTTTTTAGTTATTCAAAAAAAAAATCGTGTATGTTATCATTTTCACCAATCATAACACATTTGAGACAATATATGTAGCCGTGCCCGGTCCACCAAATAACTTCGCTGTTTGTTTTTATATGCTGACTGTAGGTGAGAAGTTACATCAGTGGTGGCGTGTCAGTGTTAACTCTAAAGTAAATTCAAACGGCGTCGTGTGAAATGTATAGAAGCTATTTTATGTTATGCCCATCGAGGGTGATGCACCACAACTCTATAACTTATTTTTAGAAGTAAATTAAAAGATAGTTTATTTTAGTTTTTTTAACTTTTTTTTTTTTAAAAAAAGATATACAAATAAAAAAATAGAAAAGTAAAGTAATTTAAAAAAAATTAAAAAATTAACTTCTAATTGTATTACCAAAATAGACATAGGTAACATAGGCTATGTTCATCTTTTCTACAAGTCCAGATAAAAAGAATTAAGAAGAATCTGAAATAAAAGGTCCAGGTACATTGCGGTAGTATGACTGTGGAGGCAGGAATTCGGTGGAGAGGAGGTACAAATTAATAATAATATTTACTGTGTTTGGTTTAAGTTTTTTGGATTAAGTTTTTTAAAATTTGAATTTTTTGATTTTCGTATTTTTTTGTTTTTAATGAATATTTTTAAAATTTTAAATATTTTTTTTATTTTTTTAGATGCACCTTACTTAGATGTGTCCAAAAAGTAAAAAAATTGTGAAAAAATATTTTAAAAAATTAAGAAATGCATAAAAATACAAAAAATGTACTAAATTTTTGTATTTTTTTTATATTTTTGGTATTTAGTGAATTTTTAAAAGATTTTTTTTATAATTTTTTATTTTTTAGGTGTTTTTATGTTAGGTGTGTCTAAAAAGTAAAAAATTTGCATAAAATATTTAAAAAATTCAGTAAAAACAAAAAAATATGAAAAGTAAGAGTGTAGAATTTTCTGAAAACTGTTTTTAAAAAATGGGAACCAAGCAAAGTGATTGTTTTTTTTATTACTAAATTAAAATATTAAATATGAATTTAGATAAATGTAAATTTTAAATTAAAGAATTCGAGTTTAAATTTTATATAAATATTGGAGAGTAACTGACATGGATAGGCCCATAGGGCTTACAGCCCACAGCAAACAACTCAAAACCCATCGCTTGAGACCCATAGCATAACCCGGTTAGCAAAGCCCAGGACAGCTGGAGGCCATCTGGGCATGGAGGGCCAATGACATTCGGGCACATGGCAGGTGAAACACAGGCCACATCAGCAGACAAAGATCTGCAGAGTTATTGCCACAACACATCACCATTAATGCAGCCCATCACAGCATTTATTACGACAACACCTCCCTGTCGGAACAGAGCCCCCTCACCCTGAACAAGATAAGCTACGGCACAGGCTTTCGGCGGAAGGGGGCACGTCACAAGGGACAGTGAAATGATTACCAAAGGATATAAGCAAGAATCGAAAACAAGAGGAAGGTTAAGCTTTTCTATCTCTCTCTCTATATTTCCTTATTCCTCTACTGATTCGCTCGCCGGAGGGTTCACTGGGGGACTACCCCGTTCCCCTTTGGACTTGCTTGCAAGTCATCTGGTGGGATCACTCGCCTAAATCGAAACTTAAAGAGCTTGGACCAGCCCGACCCATCCACCCAAGACGAACTACATTATCAGTTGGCGCCGTCTGTGGGAAATTGTGGTTTATTCGTGCGCTAATTGTGTTCACTATCGCCGGAACCCCCCTCTTTCTCACCGTTACCTTTTCCTCTCACCCGTCCAGGTGTATGGTCACGACTAGGTCCATGGCTTCTCACCATAATACCACCGATCATCAAACAGACCCTTCCCATCCAAACAACCCACCACAATACATCATCGAACTTACTAACAGCATTAACCGCATGGCCGAGCAAAACCAGGCCTTGATCAGTGCTTTGCTCCAAAGAAACCTCCCCGCTCTACCTTCAAATAGTCCACCCAACCAAGAAAGAACCCCGATCCCCACTGCTCCACAACCCCCTCCGCTCAACCCAGAAGGTTTTCAACCTCCTCCTCCTCCACATATGAGCCTACCACCTCCACCTCCACGCCCGTCAGTCGTGGCACTAGCCCCTGAGGGAGAAGCCAGCAGCGTCCAGCCTCCGTTGACCGACCATGGCGACAACATTCCCCTCTAGGACGCTGAACTCCGGGCTATGAAGCTCCAGCAACAAGGGGTCATGCAGAACATCCAGCACAAGCCCTTGGTCACCGCTAACTCGCCCTTTGTTGCCTCAATCCGGGACAAACCATTGCCCGCCAAGTTCAAAATGCCCACCATTGACTCCTTCGATGGCACGACGGATCCAGTCGACCATCTGGAAACCTACTGCACCGTCATGATCCTCCATGCTTTCCCTGACGAGATCATGTACCGAGCTTTCCCCGTGACACTGAAGGGATCAGCTCGGTTGTGGTTTAGCTAGCTACCGGCGGACTCCGTCTACACCTTTTAACACCTCAGTGACTCTTTCCTGAGCCATTTTATCGGAGCCCAGCGTCAGAGACGCCCAGCCACCCAACTCCTTAAACAGATCCCCAAATCTGGCATCTGCCTCATCTTTTTTCCTGACCAGCTCTTCATTGTTGCTCATGGCCTCTTCATGCCGCTCGACCGCAACGGCGCAGGCTCTTTCAGACTCCTCCAACTTTTTCTGTTCGCCAGCCAGTTGGAACTCGAGCAACACGACCCTACGACGTGTGTCCTCCAGCTCCAACTTGACTGCTTGCAGCTCAACATGGGCAGTCTCCCAGTCGGCACTCTCCTTCTTCAACTTGGCCAACTAGGCCTTGGCCTCTTCAGCTCTTAGCTTGGCAGCCCCTGCTTTCCTTAGAAGGGCCCCTGCCAAGGTGGTTACCTCCATTTGGGCAGAGCATAACCCCCTCAGCAGGTCAGCCTCATTAAATCCGGATGCCGAGCGTAGGGCTGTCTCCTCCACAATCTTCACCAAGCGGTCTGCCCCAGCCCTGGCTGGGCCTTCTTCTCCCTTCAACCTTCCAGCTACCGCGCGAGCATGATAGATGGCCGTGGCCAGACGGACCCCTCCTTCCTGGGGTGCAGGGCCCCTTTGGGTTTGCTCCCTCCCGCTCGGCTCGGCCTCAGCCAACCCAACTCCTACTTGCACTGTTGGGGCAGTCTCTACAGCCTCCAGTGTCGGGGTGACCCCCACCACCTCTGGGGTATCCTTGGCCACGGGGGCCTCTACCTCAGTTGGGGCCACATTTGCCCTCTTGGCCCCAGACTCATCTGCAGCCCCCTCTGGGGCATTCCTCTTCTTTTTCTTTTTCTTATTCAGAGCCTCCCCCTCATTTCTGGCCTATTCTTTTATAGGATCTACTAGGGGCGGTCGTGGTTCAAAACTACTTAAGTCCTTCTCCCCTAGCGGCCTTGGGCACGGTCGGATCCTCTCCCGCGCGATCGGCTGAGGTAGTCGGTCTCCTCGCGCTTCCTTCAACTTCGTGGCTTTGGCTAGTATGGCCTGATCCTCTACCTCCTGAACTTCTCTTCTCGCCTCCAATTCTGCTCGGTCGAGGTCCCCACCCCTCGGCTATGGTCCCAACCCTGCCTCAAACAATGCGGACGGCTGAACAAGCTCATCCCATATGGCCTTCTCTCTCTCCCTCCACTCCTTCACCCTCTTCACCCTCACTTCCGTCGCTACCCTCAGTCTTGGCTCCATCGACCTAACGGGCACCTT